AACCCCAGGTCCAACTTCCCATTACCACAACTTATCTCCAACTCACAACCAACCATGTCTTACAAATCAAAAGCACAGAGCAGCCATCACGCCAACACAACTACTTATACTCTGTCCACTAACCTAACCCATGTCCGCCATATAGTGTTTAATTGCAGTGCGCTGTGTCCTCGGGATCAGTCTAGCCGCTTTTCCTATGCTTAAAGCTTAACAAGTCTACTAACACCATGCCAACCCGTCGGTCTTAACAACTTCCATTACGCTCAACTAGAGCACGTAGGCTTGTTCTAAGCCCTCGCCAAGAGACGCACCAATGCCTTATGATGCTTAACTCATCCACCTCCTGAGCCCAGAGCCGGATAGGCCAGAGGGTATCCTGTCTCTTCATTAACGTTAACTAATATCAAGTCAGATAGTTTTCTTACGCCAGTATCCCCCGTGTAGCATATTAGCTTCAGAAATGGCGTAGATGGTACAGCGATCATTGATTGCGTAGTCCGTTTATAGGTTCAAGAGTGCCAATGAAAATTTTCATAGCACCATCCAACCGCGGTTTTTCGACCGCGCGCGACACACCGCACCACACCTGCCACTCCTACTGACACCGGACACCACGAGAAGGTCTGCCACATCATCCTACTGCTCTTTCAAGCAGCATCCAGTGTGCTCACTGGAGGGATCAGAAGGGAAAAAAAACAGTACATCTCTGCCTTGACTTGACTTGACTTGATTTCCTACTCGGTTTTGGCCGCTTTAGTCAGCAGCTATGCCCGGATAGCGGGGTTTGGCTAACAGCCGACGCGCTCCGGGTATTAATCCGTCGCGCCCCACTTCGCCAATGCAAAACATCGACCAGCTGTCTCCAAATTTCCCACTTTGCTCTCCAACCTCATCTACTCCTGGCCCCCACCAAGTGTAGTTCGCGGTTCTCTACTAACGTACATATATGCCTAGGCTCTGTCGAGGTTTTATGCCTCTTGCGATGGTTCCGTTTACCTACAGTCTCCCCCCAATGCTCAGCTTTGTCTGGGTTGCGACTCGATCCCATATTGCCCAAGGATCTCGGTCTGTTCTATGAACCTGATTGCCTTGGCGGCTGCTTTGCGCTCGTTCAGTATGACCCGGAGATTGTGTCGTCCTGGGAGGGCTCCGAGTTCCTGACGTCGGAGCTGTCGATACTTGCGGCATCGCAGCAGGATATGCGATACCGTTTGTCGTCCTTCCCGGCACGGGCAGTTGGCGTTGGTGATGCCCGGTACTCTTCGGCTGAAGAGGAAATCCTGGAGTCCGATCTTTTCGGTGCGCATCTGGACCAGAAGCGCGCTCTGTCGTTTGCTGAGCCCTTCGTGAGCTTGAAGGACCTTCTTTGTCGGCTTCGGCGTGAGACGGAACGACGTTCTTCCTCGCGTCTCAGCTTGCCAGTCGGTTTGCCATTTTTGGTGCGACTGCTTGTGTGACCAGGTCCTGATTGTGGACCTAAGCTTGAACAGGGCTCTCGGCTTGTCTGCCTTGGCGCCCGTCTGTCCGTTCTGTCTCCATCCTGTGGCTTCTTTAGCTGCGGCGTCTGCTGCTTCGTTGCCCTGGATGCCGATGTGGGCGGGGACCCATCGGAGCTCGACGTCGAGTCCTTGTTCGCGGAGGGCTTGTGTCTTGTCTGCGATGATCTCGAGGAGATATGCGCCAGACTTCCCTTTCGGTTTGGCTGACGACCTGATTGCGGCTTGGTTGTCGGTGTGGATAAAGACTTTGCTCCTGTGGTTTCCGTTTTCCTTGTCTGCCTGGGCCATTTCGAGGGCTAGGACGATCCCTTGCAACTCTCCCGCATAGACCGTTGATGTTGTGTCGTCTCCCATATATGATTTTCTGGTTTGCTCTGTAGTTGTGCAGACTGCGGCGGCTCCGACTTGGCCGTTAATGCCGCTGCCATCGGTATAGATGTGGACTGCATTGGTGTTCTGTTCTAGACATCGTTGGTGTGCTTTTTCGGCCTGCTCTGCTCCTCCAGCGATAAGGATGCGCGGGCCCTGCCACCATGGGGGTGTAACAAAGGGCGGTATATGCTCAGTCTCCTCGTTGGTTGCCTCTTGTCCGTCAAGCAGTCGTTTCGTTATTCTTTGTCTCGGGCTCCTTTTCGTTCCTCTGCGTGCGGGGGCTTCAGCTGTGCCTACCCTGCTGACGGTGTCGATATTGTGTTTCCATATCTGTTGTTCAACTGGCAGGAGATGCATCTCTACGTCTAGCGCTGGAAACGAGGTTGCTTTGTACGCCCCGCTCATTGCTCTGGCTGCTCTGGCTTGGAGTCTTCGCAATCTGTGAAGTGTCCTTTTGGTGTACCCCTTCTCTCCCCATCCACTGTTCGACCACAGCGAGCACGCGTACATCATCTGTGGTATGGCGACTCCCTTGTAGATTGTTCTCATCTCTCTAGTCCTTACGCCCCATGTGGAGTTGCCTAGGCTGCTGAGTGCTGTGATGGTGTTGGTTACCTTGCGTTCTGTCTCGTCGATGTGCTGCTTCCACTTGAGGGATGAGTCCATGATGAGGCCGAGGTATTTACAGGTTGTCTTGGGCCTGATTTCTCCCCATTGGCTCTGAAGCGTTGTGTCTGTGTTGATTCTGGTTTTCGCTCGTGTGAAGTGGGTGAGCTGGAACTTTTCGGGTGCGAAGACGGACGCGTGAGTGAAGGCCCACCTTTCGGCCTTCCGGAGCGCTTCTTGGAGTTTCTGGCAGGTGTCCTCGGTGTTGTCCCCTACTGCTAGGATCGCCACGTCATCAATGAAGCCGGTGGCTGTTGTGCCTTCAGCTTCGTTGCAGCTGTCTAGGAGGTCCGCATTGTAGAAGAGATAGAGTATGGGCGACAGGGGCGATCCTTGGGGGATGCCGGTGTTGATTCTGTATACTTCGGATCGAAATCCGTCCACGTGGATCTCTGTTTCTCGTGATTCAAGGAAGCTTGCGATCCATCGTACCGTTGCTTCGTCTATTCGTCTTTTTCTTAGGTTGTGCAGGAGTCGGCGATGTGAAACATTGTCGAAGGCACCCGACACATCCAGGAGGAGTAAGCTCGCTACCTTTCCCTTTCCTGAACCCCAGGCATCGTATATCTGGTCGACTATTCGGTGCAGTGCATTTTCCGTGGATCGTTGTTTTCTTCCTCCCATGTGGCTTTCTGGTAGTAATCTGTGTGCTTCAGCGAGGTAGCTTAGTCTTTTTGCGATGATGGCGTCCATGATCTTGCCAATCGTGTTTAGGAGGGCTATCGGTCTGTATGCTTTGGGTACTGTGTAGTTATCTTTGCCTGGTTTCCTTAGCACCACTGTGGTAGACTTTCTGAAGTGTTGCGGGCAGTGTCCGATTCGGAGGCTCTGATTGAATATGCGGGTGAGGTGTGGTGTGATCCACTGTCTCGCTATCTGAAGTGCCTTGTTGGTGACGCCGTCGGGGCCTGGAGCCTTTAGCGGCGCTGCTTCTTGAATGGCCTCTTCCACTTCACTTTCCGATATCAGCGGTAAAATGATCTGGTTGCTGTATGATGCGTTGTCGATATCTCCAAGGTTTGCCTCTGGAGGTGGAGGGAAGAAGGTTTCCTTGAATAGCGCCGCTTTCTCTCCGGGGGTGGTCGCGACCTGAGTCGTGTTGGGTTTCTTGATTTCTGGTGTGACGGTCGGTGACTGATCCTGTCTATACCGGGCCCATTTAGCGATTCTCCATAGCGATGCGGGAGAGCCAGCCGCTGTTTCCACCGCCTCGCGATGGGCTCGTTGTAGTGCTTTCCGTATGACACGGCCTTTTCTGTTTCTCGCCTCCTTATACGCTTCCCAGCTTTCTTCCGTCTGTTGCTCGCTGTATACCCTGCGGAGTCTTTTCGCCTCGGCCAGGGTATACGCGCATTCTTCAGTCCATCCGGTTCTGGATTTCGGCGATGGGGCCTTGGCTGGGACTGATGCCTCGATAGCGGTTGAGATGGCTTCAACCGTTGCCTCTACATACCCATCGAGTGCTGTCTTCGTTCTGGGCCTCTGCAGTTGTGGTAGTGAGGCCCGGAATGTCTGAATAAATGTCTTCTCGTCGATGGCTTTCCAGTTCCGCTTCTTCTCCAGGTGTAGTTCTGCTACTGCTAGGTGCAGGGACGTCACTATAGGTAGGTGATCGGAGTCGTGGTTAATGTCGTGGTCTACTTCGCATCTGATTATCCTGTCAACGAGACCGACTGTAACGAGGCATAGGTCGATCGTCGTCCGGCGGTTCCCTTCCTCGTATGTGACAGTTCCCGGTTGTAGTTGGCTCGTAAGATTCATGTCGTCCATGAGGTCTAAGAGTTCTGTTGCTTCGCGGTCTCGCGCCCGGATATTACTGCCTCCCCATAGCTCGTGGTGAAGGTTGAAGTCGCCAGCAACAATTTGCTCGCCGTGTTGGTGTGTTTCTAGCGATTTCCGCAGTTGTTGCAGAACTTGTGGTCGATTGTCCTCCTGGAGTGAGGGGTTGTATATGTTGTGTATGACCGTTGGCGGTTCATTGCCCTCGCCTGTACCAATGCTGACGGTGCAGAGATCTCTGCTACTTTCCTTGAACTGCCATCGAGAGTGGTCGAGCTTTTTGTTAATAAAGAAGCACACCCTAGCCGGCCCTCTTTCCTCGTTGGATGGGTAGCATAGGTGAAAGCGGTCTTTAGCTGGGTGGTGTGTCGTTGCGTTGAATGGGTTCCTCCACGGTTCCTGGATGGCAATAATATCGTAATTGTCGATATTCGGGTCGCGAAGGAGTGTTGCCATGACTGTATCCTTTGATTTTCTTACGTTGTACTGTAGTATTGTAAGTGTGTGTTGTCCGTTCATTCGCTATCGTCGACTACGATCTCCATCGCTGTGCTGTCGTTTGCCATCTGTGTGTTTGGGTCGAGCGCCTCAAGCGCTCTTCGCGACCGTACGATAGTGCGCTTCGGGCGCGTATTCTCCGCAGCCACCGTAATCGTCTCCTCTGATTCCTGGGTATCCGTCGGGTTAGGCCTTTTCTGGACCTTCTTCGTCAGGGACCGGCTCCGGGTTGGTCGGTCTTCCTGAGATTGACGGTCCAGTGTTGGTCGTGTCGTCCTTGGGTTCGGCCGGGTCCGGGCTTCCGGTCCTAGGGCCGGCTGTGGGGCCGCTTGTTCCAGGTGATACCTTGACCGCTGGTTGTAGGCGGTCCTGATCTTGGCCTTTTCGCGTATCCTGGTAGGGCATCTGCCGTTCCAGGCCTCGTGTTCGCCGTGGCATGCAGCGCATTTCCTAGGCGTTTCCATGTCGCTTTTCGAGGGGCAGTCTCGGGTCATGTGTTCTTGCGCGCAGTAGCCGCATGTTGTCGTTGCCTTGCACTGGGTTCCTATGTGGCCGTATGTGTGGCACTTGAAGCATTGCCTCAGACGGCACTTTCTGTCATATCTTTCGCATTGGAATACCTGGCCTTGCCAGATGAGACCCTCATCAATGAGTTTATTGGCGTCTTCCGCTTTTGAGAATTCCACCACGATTGTTGATGCAGTCTTCTTGCTGGCTGATCGGGTCAGCCAGCCGATGTATTTGATCTCTGCGGTAGGAATGAACGCTTTGTTATCCTGCAGCATGTCATCTCTAATCTCGTTGAAACGATCCATATCCATTGAGCTGGTCCTTATGCCATGCGCTAGCACTCCATAGGTTGGGATCCGTACCGCGGCTCCGTTGCCGATGCGGTTTTCCCAGTCCTCGGCAAACTGGCGGAGGGCCTCCATGTCTTTTGTCGTGGCTGTCTTGATGCTGAGGTCGCCGCTCTTGAGCTGATTAGCAGATACTGCCTTGAGTTTGCGGATATGCTCATTACTGCTTTCTTCGATGGCGCGGTCTACGTGCGCCTTAAGGCTACGGGAGTTCATGGCTCTTATGCAGGCAATGGTGATGGGATCTCTAATGTTCACAATGATCTCACGCAGAGTCTGGGTCTGGGACGATCTCTGGTTACGGGGGTTATGCATGCTTCCTGTAAGTCCTCCTCGGGCGGCTACACTAGCATATGACTGTGCGGTGCTCCCCTGATTCATTGGTCCCAGTGCTTTGATGTCCTTTACGACCTTAGCCGCCAGCTCGCTGGCTTTCCAAGCCTCCTTCGCGGCTTCGTTAGCCGCGCGTGTTATGTTGGTGTTCTCCTTAAGTTCGGCTGTGTTCTGCTGTAGAGCGATCTTGATGGTTCTCGTTTCGCGGGTGGTATTCTCGTTGGCTGTTTTGGTTTCCGCTCGCAGGCTCTCGATAGCCTGGTGGAGGTGTCCGACCTCAGGTAGGTTCTGCAATTTAATGATCAGGGAGAGGGCCGCGATAAGCGTGGACCTCACAGCCTGTGGGTTGAGGGGGTTTCCGTTTGCGGTGTCGATAGACTTGACTGCTGTCTGGAGGTGTCTGCTAAGTTCGGTGGCATGCTCTCGGTGGTGCGTTGGCCATAGTTGCTCTGACGGCCATGGGGTTGCCATGGTGCCTACGTCGCTTTGGGCTTTACGACGGGCACCCGGCTATCCAATTGACCTTACAGAGTGTGTTGTGGCGCTGTTTTTGCTCAGATTTCAAAAATTTCGTTCTCGCTTTTGATGGTGTTGTTTTTCGTACATCTCTGCCTCACCGCTGGTCTGATCAAGGCCATGCCGCACTGACCATCGGATTGTCGGCATCGTGGGTTCCGTGGTGGGGCTGATCAGGGGTGGCTTATGGCCGCGATATCCAGCAAGGCTTCACATGGGCCCAGCCCGTTACACGTGGAATGGAATGGAATGGACATGGATCCATAACGTGGATCCACATGTGGATTTCGTGGTATGGATTCGAAGCCTGGCCTCAGTTTTGATTAGGGCAGCCTCAATGTTATTAGTTGTATCAAAGTGGTGGCTTGAGGATACACAACAAACGCTCTATCTAACCCTTTTTAAATTAGCGCTGGATCTTTTTTCAATTCTTGCGATGTCTGCTGAGCCAGAACGTCTGTTCTCTGATATAAAGATCACCCTCTAAGATCGCAGGAACAGTTGAAGGATTGATATAATTAAGGCAATTGAGCGCATCTGGTCGAAGACTCACAACTTGGCTTGGGTTGACGACGTTAAGCTCGTCTTGGATACAGCTATCATTGGAGGGGATGAACAGCAGGGATCTTCTAATATTTTACCTTATAATATGAGCTATGCATAGTATGCAAGCAATTTAAGCTCAAAATGTTCGAATCTGTGTAGTTTTCTCTTGACCTCTAGTTCCACTTCATTCTCGCACCTAGGCGATAGCAGTGATGTTAAATTAGTCAATGGTGTAGCTTAGCTAAACTCTTAATGTAGAACGAGTGAGGTCTAGGAAACCGGTTATCCGAGCTTTCTCGTTATCTGGCAATATTAGTGTAACGGTCCAAGGCGAGGTGTATTGCAACCAGCTATGGTGACTACGTACGAGTATCCTCAGATGAGGATCAGAAGGGAAAAAACAGTACATCTCTGCCTCACCGCTGGTCTGATCAGGGCCATGCCGCACTGACCATCGGATCGTCGGCATCGTGGGTTCCGTGGTGGGCCTGATCAGGGGTGGCTCATGGCCGCGATATCCAGCAAGGCCTTACACGGGCCCAGCCCGTTACAATTAGTGACATCTTGTATGTTCGCTTGTGAATAGCCTCATCTTTTTATGGTCGACGCGATGATCTTGAACCTCAACCTTGCTTAAATTGGTTAGTTTGATGCTTAGGCCATACGGCTCTTTGCACGCCGTGCGATATGATATTACGATACGATATTGCTCAAATACAGTGTGATACCGTATACCGTGCAGTGCACCGAATTCCTAAACAATCCAGTGCAGTGTAGGGTTGAAAAAATATCATATACGGTATTTTGCACTATTTACTTCACTGGTCCATCCCTTGCTTCATACACTATGGTATGTTTTTCCAGGCGATGGACTTGCTAAATACGTATGTAGCTTAGCAGCCTCCTTGACTCGTCCATCTGCTTGGTATGCCGCTGCGAGTTCGTGTTGTGAGGCAAGTCGATCTGGATGCCCTTCGTCTAGCGTGCTCTCTTGCACTTCCACGACATGTTCCAGTAGCTGGATGGCCTCTTTGACTTGTCCGTCTGCTCGGTATGCTGCTGCGAGTTCGTGCTGTGAGGCAAGTCGATCTGGATGCCCTTCGTCTAGCGTGCTCTCTTCCACTTCCACAACGTGTTCCAGTAGTTTGATGGCCTCTTTGACTCGTCCATCCGCTCGGTATGCCCCTGCAAGTTCGTGTTGTGAGACAAGTCGAGAGGGATACTTTTCGTCCAACGTGCTCTTATGTACTTCCACGACGTGTTCCAGTAGCTTGATGGCCTCTTTGACTCGTCCATCTGCCTGATATGCTCCTGCGAGTTCGTGCTGTGAGACAAGTCGATCTGGATGCCCTTCGTCTAGCATGCTCTCTTGCACTTCCACAACGTGTTCCAGTAGCTTGATGGCCTCTTTAATCCGTGCGTCTTCCAGCAAACACTGCCCAACTCGCGAGTACAGTTCCAACTTCTCACGTGTTTCAGCTTCTGTGATTTCGTTCAAGACTTTCAGGGCGTGAGGCATATACTGCCTCCAAATAGCACGATTCACACAGTTATTAGTGGGAAAGATCTCGTTGAGATGCTCAAATGTATCTTCTGTAATCTGTTCGTCGATGAATTGATTCTTCACCCAGATGCGTGTCGCTAGATGCACGATACTGTGCATATCGAATGTCTGGGTCTCGTCTCGCTCAACAAGAAATGCGTAGGAACCTAACGTGCCGATTGCGTACTCCAGTTCCTCATCGGAGCCAGTGCAAGGTAGCATTGATCGTGGTATGGACTTTGGCTCGATGCATGAGATGAAGTACAGCAAGTCGGCAGCATAGCTGTCAATTTGCCGAATCTGTTCGAAAGAAACCAACCACGTAGTTGCGATTGCGTTGGGTGAATTTGCGTATCTGGTGCTGTCGCGAAACTCCCGGCCCATCGTGCTTATCAGGGTCTGTTCTGTACCCCGCAGCAGTTCAAGGTACCTTGCAATTGACACACCTGTGTTCCTGTTCAAATACGCCGAGGCTTGGGTGATGGCCAAGGGAATGTGGGTGAGGAAGTCCAACAGTTCTACCACCGAGTCGTGATCCTGGAGGAGTTATCGCCGATGAATAGAATTCCCAAGCAACGTCTCAGCTTCGCCTTGATCCATCGCATGGAGTTCCATTAGCGCATCGTCCGCCACTGACAGCGCCAGTTCTCTCAAGCGTGTTGTGAATAGCGTGATGCCATTGTCGTTTCGTGGAAGGTAATTGATCAAACCATTCTGCTCGCCTGCTGACCCATAAAGGATCTCCATGTCATCGGCGTTGTCAACTATCAGTAGCCAACGGCCAGCCTTATTAGAGTTCAGGAACTGTCGGACGCTTGTTTTTATATCTTCGCCTTCCGTATTTGGACGAAAATCAAGCTCTTTTGCGATATCGACGTAGGCTTGCTCAAAGCTTGCAAAGCTGAGGGCTGGGATCCAGAAGATGGAGTATTCCGACTTGTTCTCTCGAACCCAATAGGCAATGTTCAAGGCAATCTGTGTTTTTCCCACACCACCCAGACCTACTAAAGCAACTGTTTCGCGCGTTTCATTAAACAGCATTTGCTTGAGATCAGACACTTCAGCCCGTTCAACGAAGCGTCTATTTTTCGCAAGCGGGATGACGTGATGTGTGGGATCTGTAAAGCCGTCAACAACCTATCCTCTCTTCTGGTCACAACTTTGCAAATGTACTAACGCTTCGCTGTCGAAATCGGTGTATCTTGAGGCATCCCATGGCGACTGATGTGATGACAAACTCCGGACGGTTCAACAAAGTTGGAGGACTCATTGTATGAGGCAGGGACTAAAGCTGGTCAGTGTCGTCAAGGATCTAAGACTTGTTTACTTACAGCCTGCACTGATGACCCTAAATTTCTTCTCTCTGGGGTAGCGCTGAAGGAGCGCCTTCGTTGCCGAGGCAGCCGTTGCAGCGGCGAAGTTTTGCCACTTCTTGTGCTTGTGACTGTCGGCGTAGTCACATACACCCTTGACGATGATGCATGGAAACTCATCCCAAACCCCCGCGCTCTCCATCTCGAAGGCCACAATGCCATGCTCTGCAGCAACCCGGTCCCGATGTTCGCCAGATTTCATCACCGTATCACCTGAGCCTATACATCCAATGTGTATCCGAGATTCGTGTATGTTGGCGATGCCCCCTTCCTCCCCCAATTCTCGCTTTCTCTTAGACTCGAGTCGTTTCCTGAACACTTGGCGTCTATGATCACACTGAAGATCCTCGCAAGAAGCACTAATCGCTTCATCGCAGGTAGTAGACACGCCACAGCCACAGTATGACTGGTTCCGATGTTTGTGAGGATAGTCTGGCTCAAAGAGCATGTCTTCTTCGGCCGCAGGACGGTCATAGCAGCACCGGTATTTTGCGTCAATGGCTTTTTGCCGAATTTGAGCGAGGCCTTGGTTGAGTTCGCGCTGCATTTCGTTCAGGCCAAGCTGCGTCTCCAGGACGGTAAGTAGAATACGAATGTTTTTGTTCGGTCGGCCGAGATTGTCATCGACTGTGTCTTTCCTGCTAAACTTACTGGGGTACTGTCGGCCCAGATCATATTGCACGATACTCTCACTGATGACTACGTCCCCAAGCAGAACCTCTTTCTCGGTCCCAGGACTAGGCACTCCACCGCAGATGCCAGTCAAGATAGCCAGCTCGAGGCCAGCATAAGTGGACTGGAGACGAGCTGTTTCGTTTGCCGCGCTGACCTTTCCCATGTTCGGGAGAAGGACGAGAACAACATTATGGACTCCAATCCGCCCCAGCATGTGATTGCTGTGTTGCCTGAGCGCAGGTTCGTACCCATTTCCATCATCGTTCCAGATCTCATCGAAAGCCAGGATGGCGGCATCGTATTCGCGAGGCAGTGCGCATATTATGGCGATGCGGAAGTCTTCGAACCGGCGTGGTCGAGGGTAGCTGGACATCGGAATTGGTTCGAGGCAAGTGAGTGTCGTGCCTTGTCAGAGTACATCTGCTCATGCTATCGTTGGAATTAATGCCGTGTCACGCGAACGTGTCATGCTCTGTTGTTGAGAGCTGGGAAGTTGAAAGGGGGAGATCATCGTTCTCCATGCTGACGAAAATGAGGGGTTGACGTTCTAACTGGCAGCCTTGTGCGGCTGAGTGGCACAAGGCTAGCAAATCAAACCCTTGGCTTAGACTGCCAAGTGTGCAGACACTTCTTCGCATGCAATTCGCTCGAAGAACAACAAAACTCCGAAAGCAACAGCAAACAAGAACTGTCGGGTTGAATCGGTAATGGTTAGATGGTCTTCACGGCATGGTAAAACATGCGGTTGTAGGGGCTGAAGTAAATTCCTAAATTATTGGGTCAACCACACAGAGGGAGAGGCAGTTCACAGCAGTCTTCGCCGCAAGAACATTATTCCATTACGGAGCCCGCTAGTCTACTTCTGATCTACGTTACATGAGCCAATGCAGCATAATCACAAAATACCAGGTGCGCTGCGCTCGCATCGAATCTTCTAGAAGCTGAGCTTAAGTAGGTTTCTGAGCTACGGATTTGTTGTCGACCGGTTTTTAGTCTGCAGCACGCAGCTTCCTGCCACCATGGCGCCCAACCTTGCAGTGTCGCAGCATTTCTTCATTCGTGACATGATTCTCAATAAGTCGCTCAGCAATGCTCAGATGGCTCGCATCGTTGGGTGCAGCACCCGCACCATCAGCCACATCAGATCGAACCTACGCTGCTTTGGAACGACGAAAGCCCCGCCAAACGCTGTCGGCCGCCCGCGGTCCGTCACACACCTATGCTCCATGCTCGAGGCACTGCTTGCGCAACTAATTAAAAAGCCATAAGTCACCTTACCCACTTTCCAACCACCCCCCACTTCCGACCACCTAAAAATCCCTCATCGTCAACCTCATCCCCCAACTTCCAACTATCACAACTTTTTCCATACTTATCCAAATGGCCTCATCTTTCTAGGCTACCTTATTTATAGCCTAATGGTCCAGTATACCGAACATGAGCTTAATCAGTCGCTGGAGGCTATGGCCAATGGCGTTAGTCAGCGCCAGGCAGCTCGTACCTATGGCATCCCAAAGACTACCTTGCAAAACCGCATAACTGGCACCCAGTCAAGGGCATCGGCTTTTTCTGACTTCCAGAGACTCTCTGTTAATCAGGAAGCTAAGCTGGCCAGTTGGGTGCAGATACAGGCTGACCTTGGGCTTGCGCCAACGCATCAGCAGGTCAGAGAATTTGCCCAGCGTATCCTGAATGCGATGGGCGATACCCAGCCTCTAGGAAAGAGATGGGTGAATGCCTTCATACGAAGAAACCCATCTATCAAGGTCCAGAGAAGTCGATCTATTGATTCTAGACGTGTTAACGGGGCATCTACTGAGGTTATCAGGGACTGGTTCAAATATCTCGCGATCCCAGCAATATCAGCCATCTAACCAGCCAATAGATATAATATGGATGAGACTGGTATCCTTGAGGGCCAAGGAGCAAATGGGCTAGTGCTAGGCAGGGCAGAGACTAAGTCTGAACGTAAAAAGCAGCCTGGATCGCGAGCCTGGGTATCCATTATCGAGTGTATCTCAGCCGAGGGCCAGGCACTGCATCCTCTTATCATACACACACACACACACACATTTTATTACGCCCGGCGGCGAAGCCGAAAGGGCACCTAAACTGGTTACATATACATTGCTGAGCTTGTGTCCTTGTCTCCTTGAAGCCCATAAGTGATGTCTCCGTTTCCTGCTTACTCCATGTCTGCCGTCTCGCTTCGGATTCCCGTGGTTTGGTTGTATTTTTAGCATGCCATCTTGAAGCCTATTCCCCAAGTGTTCAACGTCCTATCTACGGCGGCTGAAGCAGTGCCTGCTGTTTATGGCACGGGTTGTTAGATGGTTACTCAACGAAAGGTGCCCAGGGTTTATGGGATCAATTTCTTGGCGCGAAGTAAGCTGCGTCGTAACTCAACTGAAAGGCGTAGATCTAGGGCCTACTTGATCTGTCGCTTTGATAAGTCCCGCTGTTGATCCCAGAAAACTAGGGCGGGTGTCTGAGTCGGTCTTCGGGTTTCCTGTCTGCTCCGCTAGATGCCCTGCGACGCCTACTCTGACTCGCCGAAATGTCTCGCGCGGATCTTGTTCCCGGAGACGGGCAACAGAAATGCATTGACTCATGAACGCTGCAGATTGCGGCCGACGCTCAGTCATGTTATATTGACGTCTCTACTATCTGTTGTTCTAGGCCGCGCGACCAACAAATCAGCAGCAGATCATCTACGATGCCGCTGACCAACTGCTGAAACATCATAACAAGGGCATGGCTGTCTAGCAGCCTTGAGGACAACCTTTAGCAGAGAGCGAAAGGAGAAGCATGCAAAGCATGCCGAGAGGGTGCTTCCACAGAAGAGCAGTTCCCAAATGTGCGATAAACAACCCCCAATGCCGCCAGGCGCAAACTACGTTCTGAGAGGCGATTGCCAGACCGCGTTGGGAAGCAATCCAAAAGAACCGACACAACGCTAGCCGGTAAACACACTTGAGAGTTATCGGATAACCTGTCTTAGACAGGGATGGGTATGCTGGCACAACTCAGGACAGCTTGGCGAGACTGAACGCGTCACTTTTCCGCACAAGAGCAGCACCTTCAGATCAATACACATGCGGACAGGGAAGAGAGACAGTGGAGCATTCCCCCTTCGATGCACACGATGGATATCACAGCGCACAGGGGATACTCCAATGCCCCGACACACAGAGACAACATCTCCTTTCATCAAGGAGGAAAGACACCATCCGCTGACGATGATGATACTTTGACAAGGGCCCAACACGCACGCAATCCCACTACCCTTCCCGCTAATCTAATCTATACCTATACGATAGAGCTTCAGGTCAACAGGAATACAGTCTATCGATGGCGCATTACATCAATTATACAACGAGAGTATAGTAATATCTCAACTATATACTCAGTCTATTGTACGCAGCCATGGAATATATCGTGGCAACTAGGGTCTAGTAGCCTGCCAAAATTTCGGCCGAAATCTTCTCGGCCAAGACGTAAACGGTACTCTGAGGGTGACCGGGAGGCAACAAGGCAAAACTACTAGCGTCCACTACTCTTAGGCCGGAAACACCAATGACCTTGGCGTCCTTGTCGACAACGGCCCTAGGGTCGTCTGTCTTTCCCATACGACAAGTGCAGCTTGCGTGCCAGATTGTCATGACAGTGTTGCGGATGTTCTGGAGGATCTGTGCGTCTGTCTCAACTTTGGAACCGGGGAAGTACTCCTTGTTGTCAGCCAAAACCGGGTGCATGGCGTTGCTGGCGAATGCCTGACGAAGGCGTTTAAATGTCGCGATCGCAACGACAACGTCGGTCGGATCAGTCAGCCAATTGGGGTCAATGAGGGGCAGATCCTTAGTGTCGGCCGATGCAAGGGTGACAGTACCCTTGGAGAGAGGAGCGACCAGACCACCGAGGATGGTGGCATACTGATATCCGTCCTTGGGTTGTGTTAGGAGAAGATTGGCAAAGTCGCCAACGTAACCCGGCGCGGTCAGATACTCGATCTCAGGCCAGTCGGGAGGGAACTTATTGTCGAGAACAGCAGCGGCTTCCGCAGAGATGAGATCGCGAGGCGTCTTCTCCCAGCCGAGGAAATCGCAGACCGGGTTGGTAAGTGGACCCTGCTTGAGTACACTGTAGGGTGTAGCGAACTGAGCAGCCGTGTAGATCAGGTCGTTGGCGAGACGGGTCAGAGTCTGGACCTTGACACGCCATGTAGGACCAAAGAAGACGTGGTCCTCCATGTGTTTGCCGACACCGGGGCGCTCCGCAATCACGGGAATTTTAAACCTGTCGAGCTGCTCCTTGGGACCGACACCAGATACCATCAAAAGCTGGGGGCTCTGGAAAGCGCCGGCGGATAGGATGACCTCTTTGCGCAGGGTGAGGAATCAATCCACGACTTCCACGGCATTGATCAATATATTGACTTCAATCCACGTCAACGTCAATCCACGTGGCGTGCTGTTACGTAATCAATCCATCAACGCCTGGGGCTGCGTGGATTGAGATGTGGATTGATGTGGACGCTAGTAGAGGGTATTGGCGCATCGATATAGTCCGTTAACCATTGCTACCTCAACCCGTACCAGTACTAACGCAGCTAATCAAAACATTACTTGGACGCGTTTTGGCAGACTTGACGCGTTCTGCGCGTGAATCCAAATGGTCCACTCCCTTTCTTTACTTACTTGATTCGTTCCATTGGTGACCTCAAGCGCGACATGACGGACTCAACCATTGACCTTAAATTACCGACCAACAACGAGGGGCATGCCGAATGTACTCGACCTGTCCTGGAACCGGACCAGGAGGTCCTCCAGCCTTCTACCTGGGCACCAACAAGCGATGAGGAGCGGAGGATCTTCCGCGTCTGGAAGGGATTCACCCTGGCCGAGCGCAGCAAAGACACCCTGTCATGGGTATGGAACTACGGAGTCGAGATTCAATCCACAACATCCCGACGATGGATCTGTATGCCATGTGTGCGCCAGAAGAGTCCCACACCACAGTCATACGAATCCAAAGGTACCCAAAACGCCGAACTCCACCTCTGGAAAGCCCACGGCTACTGGGATTCATCAGGACGCCGATCCACACCGTCGCAGAAGAAGGGAGGCAAGAGGGTACTTGCCTCTATCTCGGATTTCATGAGCCTCAAACGCTCCGATCCAAAGGATCAAGCTCTGGCCAATAGCTTGATCAAACGATTCGATCGAGGGCAGTTCCAGAAGCTCATTGTCAACTGAATAGTCGAAAGCCAGCAATCGTTCAAACAGGTCGAGCACCCTCGATTAACTCAACCACCCTGCTTCCCACGCAACCCCGCATACCACGCAGCCCCAAACCCCCATCAATATCACCATACCCATCAACAACATCCATTATTCCTCATCCCTACCACCTACCCAGATGCAACTTTCTGCTTCACTAGATAATTCAGATCCACTGGATTCACTTGTGCTACTCTCTGCTTCGCCAGCAGCAATTTGCGCCCGTCGGATATCCTCGATATTAGCGAACGTCGTGTTAGGGTCCGTCTGGACCCTTTTTCTCCTGCCTTGTTGCTGACTATCCGTCTGGGCCTGGAATGCCTGGGCCTGACGCTCTAGGACTGTCAGTCTATAGGCCTGTTGGTCCCAGCCTTTTTGGACCTTTCTAAATAGGTGGCGTTGGGTGTAGATTTCTCGGGTATCTTGCGTAAGCTGGTTGAATAGGTGCAGCTGACGCTGAAGATCAGCAGACTTACGCGGGGTTGACCATGGGACTATAGATACAGCTCCATCCCACTGCTGACTTCCTGACTGCCCAGCTGTCTGGCCGTCTAGCTGTCTGGCTGGCTGGCTGGCTGATGCCTTAGACACGAAAGGGCTAGATAGAGGTTGCGCTACATCAACTGGCCATAACCCAGTGTGTTTCCAGCCGCTTTTAATAACCTGGATAGTCAAGGCGTCTAGACGTGCCCTTCTATAACAGTCTATAAAGTTCCTCTTGCCTGTTACAGTTGAATCGCTTTGTATATCTAGGTACCCTAGATACTTCCTATAGGCTGCCTTAAGAGGTCGGAATACTGACTGATCTAGAGGCTGGAGGACGTGTGATGTGTGCGGCGGCAGAAACAGGAGGTGTATGTGGTTCCGGAAGCATCGCCACAGAAAGTCTGTTGTTGTATGGCTATGATGGGCGTCTAGAACTAGTAGTCTAGTATCTGAAGGGTCCTCTGGGACAGTCTGAGGGATAAAGACCTTTTCTAGCCATTCTAGGGCATTCTGATCAGTTGTCCAGCCGTTCTCTGTTGCTGTGAATTTCCAGCTAGCATAGGGTTGAAGATCTAGAGGAAACCACTGTTGCTGGACTGACTTGCCCTTATACATAACAAGAGGCGGAAGTGCGCGTCCTCTGGCAGAGACGCACTCGATCAGAGATACCCATGCCCGCGATCCAGGCTGTTTTTTCTGGATATACTTGGTCTCTGACGATCCTAGTACTAGCCCATTGCTTCCTTTGCCCTCGAGGATACCAGTCTCATCCATGTTCCATCTATTAGCTGGCTTGATGGGCAGGATTGCTGGCAGATCAAGGCGATGAAACCATTCCTGGATAATGTCAGCAGTTGCCCCATTAATTCGCCTAGCGTCAATTGCCCTGCATCGCTGGGTTCTGATAGATGGGTTTCTGCGAAGAAATCGCTGCATCCACTTCCTCCCAAGTGGTCGCTGCCCATCGCCCAGCATGCGCTCAGCCAGCCCTTTGACTTGCTGATGGCAAAACGCAGAGCCTAGGGCAGCCTGCTTAGATATCCACTCAGCAAGTAGACCTTCCTGGTTCTGAGATAACCGCTGCAGTCTACCAAAGGCAGTATTTCTAGACTGGGTACCATGGAGACGTTGTCGTACAGTCGCCTCTGGGATGCCCCATTTGCGACCTGCCCCGCGGATACTAAGCCCGTCAGCAATATCCCAAAGTGCCCGCTGCAGCTCATGTTCACTATACTGCTTCATCTTATAGTAAAAAAGATATCCTCAAAAAATGGCGTTGTTTGGGGTAGAATAGAAGATGTTGTGATAGTTAGAAAAGAGGAGTAGGTTTTATGGTGACGCGTTGTTGGGCTGCGTGGTATGCGGGGTTGCGTGGGAAGCAGGGTGGTTGAGTTACAGCAGATTTTCGAATATCTCAATCCGGCGGTCGGGGTTACCAATGCACACGTTACGGCGAAGACCATACAGAAACTGGCGGTCCAGCAATTCCAGCGATACCACGCCACCGTCCAAGACGTCTTAAAGAGATCACCAGGTCAAATCCACATTGCCTTTGATGGGGCAAGGACTAGGAATCGTCACGCGCTATATGGCGTGACGGCCGTCTTCCGAGACACCGAGAATCAGATCCAAAAGATCCTGCTAGGCATTCCGGAGCTGGTGGAACGACATACAGGGGAGAACATTGCCGCCGAAATCCTCGAGATCATCAAGTCGTTTGGCATCGAGGACAAGGTCGGTTACTTCACTCTCGATAACGCAGCAAACAATGAAACGGCCATGGCGGAGATTGCAGAAGAGCTGAAATTCGACCCTGTTCAACGACGCGTCCGATGCATGGGGCACATCCTTAACCTTGTTGTCAAATCTCTCCTCTTCGGAAAGGACCTCGATGCCTTTGAGGAATCGCTCGTCAAGGGGGAGCCATTGGCGAGAGCGACGCATGACGAGTGGATGCGGAAGGGTCCTGTCGGGAAAGCGCACAACTTTGTCGTTTGGGTCCATCGGTCCGACTTACTGACTCAACTGTTACGTCAACTGCAACAAGACTCATTCGCCGCTTCTGACGATCCCGAAGTCGGAAAGCAACGGCCAGTTGATGTTGTGATTGACAACGATACGAGGTGGTTATCCCAATACCACATGATAAAACGAATGCTTCGCTTGCAGCCCTTGTACGAAGAGTTCATCGCTAAAGCCAAGAGGCTCTTCCGAGGCGCTCGGAAAGGGGAGGCAGGACAGAAGTTTCCTCCCTGCCTCGAGGAGTCGAGCTTTCTCAACGAGAGCGATTGGGCAGTGCTGAGGACGTTTGACGAGATCCTCTCCGACTTTCACGTTGTTGTCCAAGTGCTTCAGAGAGACGGAAAGCCGCGATATCGATCGTCTGGGGTTAGGGAAACCTTTGGCTCTATGACTGATGTGCTGGAGGCGTTCGAGTTCCTGCTCGGGAAGCTCGAGGACGCAAAATCGCAGATTGAGAGGCATCCCGAGCCCGAGCAATTTGGTATCAATGTCAATCATGGCTGGGTGAAGCTCGACAAATATTACAATACTCTAAGGGACTCGCCAGTATACTACGCCGCCGCCGCCTTACACCCTAGCCTACGATGGGACTATTTCGACGAGGTTTGGGGGCAACAGCATCCGGCTTGGGTCGACGAAGGGCGGGATATCGTGCAACGTCTTTGGGATACGGAATACAGAGACCTCCAGATTACAGTCACGTCTCCTGAAGGTCCGGTTGTAAAGAGGCGAAAGACGACCTTGTCCTCCTTTGATCGGTATCGTCACCGATATCGTCAAAGCCAACCCTTTGCTGCTCAACCAGATGAATATATCCGTTGGCAGGCCAGTGTGTCTGAGAGCGACAAGGACATCACCGACCCAGTTGAGTATTGGATTCTCAAGAGGTTTCAGTACCCAAGGCTATCTCGAATGGCTCTTGACGTCATGACAGTACCAGCCATGAGCTCGGAGTGCGAGAGACTATTCTCCGCCACTGGGTTGATGGTGACGCCCCTCCGAAACCGTTTAGACGCTAGCACGATTGGACTGATCCAAACGCTGCGATCTTGGCTACGCGCAGGCATTATCGAAGGTATGGATAACATCCTGCTTGACGATACAGCGTTGGAGGTAGCTGTCGGACGGGCTTGTTCGGAGGAGCACCAGGGGTGAGGCAATAGCTTCACGAATTGCCCGATTAGGTAATCCGAGTTATGTGACAGGGGTCTTCCACAGGTTCAATATTATGGACATCAATCCACGGATAGCCTCGTGGACATCAATCCACGAGCACTTTGCTGAGTAAGCTGTCAATTCAATCCACAAAGTCGGATATTGACGTGGATGGATTGATTCCCTACCCTGAATTTGGCATATGACTACGGCACCGACATCATGTGGTGTGACTGCGGCGCCGCTAATGGCACGGCAGGCTTCGCGGCAGAGTGGTGGAACAAGGCCCGTGCCGAGGGCCGACAGGTTGCCATCAACTCACGCTGCGGCATCTCTGAGGCGGCCGACTTCGACACTCCTGAGTACCAGACCTTCGCGTCTGCTCAGCAGCGCAAGTGGGAGAGTAACCGTGGCATGGACCCATACAGCTACGGATACAACCGAGAGACGAAGCCTGAGGAGTACATGAACGCTACCACAATTGTATACTCACTCGTTGACATGGTGTCGAAGAACGGTAACTTCTTGCTGGACATCGGGCCGAGGGCGGACGGGACTATTGTGCAAGCTGAAATGGACAACTTGCGTGAGGCCGGTAAGTGGATCAAGAGCCATGAAGAAGCAATCTTCAACACGACATATTGGTTCGTGCAGAGTGAAATTCCAGGTGGACCGGACGTGAGGTTTACGCAAACTGATGAAGCGTTTTACACCGTGTTCTTGGAAAAGCCACTTGTCATTGACGGCTGGGTTACTATCCAAGCACCGGTTCCCGTTGTTAAGGGCGATGTTATCAGTCTTCTCAGCATCGAAGGCGGCGAAGACCTCGAGTGGAAATCAGTTGGGTTGGGGACTGAGCATGGGTTGAAGATTAAGGTGGACGAAGCATTGATTGAGGCGGATCAGTTCGCTTGGGTCTTCAAGGTCCTCTACGCGGCTTGAGATGGAAGAAACGGGCATGCAATTAATCTAGTCATTTGATCCGAGTTCCCCTTGTCTACAAAGGTCCACAAAGTTATTATGATTCATATTCGCTTCTGAAAAATGTGTGCATCCTCATGAAGGGAACAAAATTGAATGCGCCCGAGGGTGGGGGATCAAACCGCCGGCCTTGCGATGCTGTTTGATGGCAACTAAATATGTTTTACCACTAGTTAATCGATCAGCTGTTCATGTTGAACGCGAGTCTGAGAAGACTGAGAGCTTCTGTGGTAGTGCTGCATATGTGACCCGTTCTGTTGATGATAGTCTCGAAATCAAAAGCCGGGAGGCTTGCAAAAACCCTGCTTCTTACTCGATTCCAAGACAGGGTTAATTTCTGACTCATTCCATCTTGGGTCCAGTACCAAGCTTTCATGTTTGGCGTCTCAAGATCAAAATTTCATGATTTACATCTACGAGACGATATATGTTAATAGTATATGAGCGTGATGCGGCCAAATTACTGTAAACCTTCTGCCACCAAGTCTGTTGTGTAAATCTAGTAAGGAACGTTCTGGGTATCTCTGTCCTCACTTTGCCTCCTAAAATCCAACAACCTTCTTTCCCCTCTCACTGGCTCGGCAAATCTCATCAAACTTTTGCAGTACCCGCTCAACATTGACTGGAGTATTGCGAGCCAGATACTCGCCCTCAGCTCGCCGGGCAGCGGCAATGCTATGGCGAGTCTTGAACTTGACTGCTGTTCTGATGCTCTGATACGCTCCTTGAGCAGGGTAAGCAACGATTCCAAGGGTTCCTGTGTTGCTGAAGTTAGTGTATCGTCCAAGACGACGAGGTTCGCGGGATTGAGGAACATACCTGAAGCCGTCTTGGTCATCATGTTCATCACCCCCTTGCCAACGCCCACTGCCGCACCTGCCGCACCTCCGTCTCGGCCTCCCTTGTAGGGCTGATAAAATAGATCAGCAAATCCTCCACCGATACCGGTGACAAAGTTCTTCCCGCCAACCATCGCGCCGGACTTCCAATCCGTGATAGGCGCGCGGTCTTCTACTTTCTCGCCGTATAGTTTTGGCGTCATGCGGAGCCCTTCTGTAACCGCCAGTGGCACGTCGAGGTAGAGTTTGCCATATGATTTGAAAAAATTGCCGAGACCAGAAGCTGACGCTTTCATTGCCACCCCTGTGGTACTTCCACAGCCTCTGCCGGCACTCTTTGGTCGTTCGAAGGCGTCGGATTGCGGCGGTGCTAGACTCGGTGATCTGGGAGGTGTCTGAAAATCACTGCTGGCACTGCTTCTCACGACGTCTTCCGTTTCTGCCGATTTTATCATGGATCGTTGGCGATAAACCTGAATTGGTTTGACGACGATGTCTGTAGCTCCCTTGACCATGCCGGCTCCTGCGCTCATCAGAGATGATGCGGAGCCTGTCACAGGGTCCCATCGGCGATTCTCGATGATGTATGTTCTTGTCTCGTATCTGGAGTATTTTTGCATAAGCAAATGGAAATTTCTGGACTCTTGCTGGCTACTTACAGCGACATGTTCTTTTGTCCAATCTTTAGGTGATCGAGAAGGATACCTGCAGCTTGTTTTGATAACTTCAATTGCCTTTTGCTTCTTTTTAACTCCCATGCTGCAGGCTGGTCGGGGAATATGTCACATTGCAAAGTTTGCAGAGGCAAGTTGGCGTGGAACGACTTGGCTGCCGTAGCTACACCGTTCTCAGTCCTCATCTTGGCTGCAACTTTGCCGGCTGCTGCTGCTGCTTCCGGAGTCAAGCAGAAACGTATAGCATCGGCCAAGTTTTGGGCGTTGAGCTGCTTGTGTAGAATTGGCTTCGGCCCCGCACCTGCAATGGCAACCATGTCGCCCCAGAAAGGTTGGCTAGAGCATGTAAGCCACTGTAGAGTTCCTGGTGTATTGATAAAGCACTTACTCGCCAAAGAATGGAACAACCGTTGTCGGCCTTCCGTTCAGCAGTCCACACGCAGTTGTTCCCGCACCGCCATGGTGGAAGACCGCTGCGACATTGGCGAACAACCACTCGTGAGGGCAGTCTCCGAGGAACAGCACATCATCCGAATCGACCCCTCCCAGATTACTCCATCCCTTAGATATTATGGCACGAACTCCGGTAGATCGAACTGCCTCAATGAGAATCTTGGTCATCTCGTCAGGATTGTCAATGACGATGCTTCCAAATCCAATGTAAATAGGGGTCGGCCCATTCATAAGGAAATTCTCCAGCTCAGGCGACGGTGTATACTGGGGAGGTTCTCGGAAAAAGAAGCCGCACACATCTGGCTAAAGTCAGTTCCGTTTTCCGACGTGGCCGTAAAGGCTGAGTTCATACCGATATATGCCGGCCAATCAATCGGCTTGGGTACTAGTGCTGGAGACCAGCAGTATGTGAATGGTATCTTCTGAGATTCCGCAAGTACTGGTCCTTCGGAAAATGGTACTTCCTCGAGGTCAATTGTCTTTCGCCAGTCGTTGATGACATCTCCCAAACTGTTATGTTGTTAACATTTTCTTCCAATTAACAATGCCGTTCGTATCTTACCCCTGCCATGTCAACCACTCCACAATGCTGTAGGAAACAAAGTTCGCCGTCATTTGATCAACAACTCCCTTGTCTCCAAGCTTTAGGTTTGCCAACGGGTGGGGAAACGCTCTCGTACTGCTCCAGGGCATGGTGAACATAAGGTGTAGTGGTACACCCAAAGCTTGAGCGCAATGGACATGCGCAAAACTCGGTGGATTCGCAATGATTGCATCAGCCACAAAGGGCTTTCCCGTCTGTGTATCGGGCTCGATACACGATCTCCAGCACCCCTCGAGCATCTCCTTGACCATTTTACGCTTTTTCTGAATATCGCCGCCCTTCAAGCTCTTCAAGCTGGGAATAAGGCCGGGGTTTTTGACCATATATGCCATCAATTCGGAAGGATCGCCACCAATGGGGTAAAACTCGAGGTTGGATTTTCGTACAAAAACGTCAAAAACGTCATGTGTGGCCAGGCGGACGCGGTGCCCGTAGGTCTGGAGCTCGTTGCCAAGGGCAATAAAAGGCTGGACGTCGCCTCGGCTTCCTACGACTTGGATGACGATGTTCAGTTTGACGGGAAAAGTCTTTTTCTCAGCGAAGCTCTCTGCTGCCTCGAAATATTTTGGGGGAGGCCCTTGGGCTGATGCGGCTTGGGCGTATTGGGCTGTGTCTTTGAAATCGGGGATGAAGCGGGCAAGCGTCGTCGCCAAGCGAGAGTCAAGATTTACGTCAACTCTACCATCGCCTGTGAGAGATTAGTTGGTTAGAATGGGCATTTTTGGAACGGCATCATTTGGTCCCCCTTACTTCTGAAACTGTCTCTATGTTGGTGTAGCCCCTCGTTTATCGCCGCTTCGTAAGATGGAAGGTAGTCCTGAGGCAATGTGTCCTCCTCAACCATACGAATTGTACTGCGTTTGGACATCTTCTTTGTTCGGGCACGACCTTGCCCGCGGGGTAAGGAATTTGAAAAGTTGGACCTTGTCGTGGGCAAACCTGTTAATTGACTGGTTTTGAATACCAAGGTATTTAGTTTGCAAGTTTAGATGGGTATTTCGACAACAAGAAAAATGACCTGCAAGGATAATTGTCAATGAAGTCGAGGCAAAGAATTATGTAGGCTCTTAGCAATATCCGAGAGGAAAGTTGATTGCCCATCGCAGAGTTCGTAGGAGGGGTTTAAGAAATACTGTCGCAGCGATTCGAAGTTTTCCCCGAAGATTTGCAAACCGCCTTCATAAATCAGTCTTCAATATGCTGCGCCCAGTCACACCTCCACGACCTCAACAAAGTGCCGTTTCGTGCCAGACTCGAGTGTGAGGGACTCCGAACGGTAACGCTAAAGTGGCTAGACTGATTATCTCTCCCCCAGCACTCCAGGCCGCGCCACCACGCGCCGGGATGGCGTCCACGTAAGAAGGACGTGCGTCAGGCTCTGGTTGAACTTGAGAGCCGCGGATCGGTTTGTTGCCATTGCTATCATGGCAAAAAAAGGGGCCCGTATCAATCCAAGATACGCGTGTCTCCAAGATGATTGTTTCCGCCCAGCATACCCATAAATGCTTAAGTCAGGAGGCTGATGGGTTGATGGGCAGTGCAAGAAGATTCTGATTGGGCTATGCGAATCCGCGGGATTTAGGGGCTGCAGCGTTGTCTCGCATCTACATGGCTAATCGCGGCGAATACGCGTATAAAACCAACGGTCGGGAAAAGCCGACGAGTGAGTGTAGAGGCTATTCTCCACAGCTCTTAGCTTCTCTGGACTTCGCCGAAGGTACAGTGCTGGGTCATTAGTATTTGAACAGCAATAAGGATCACATGATGTTGCGCCCCACATTATTCGAGGCTGACAATTCGTGCAGCATAATCTTTTGGTGTAAGCACCAGCTAAAATTAATGCTTCTAAAATCGCGTATACCAGCCACGCGCCTTAATACATTCAGCAATCCTATCCTGGATTGAGTCCATTAAACCTACAATATGAATAGATGGAAGTTGCGTGAAGTGACTTGATTCTTCTAAGTTACGAGACGCTGGCTATACTGACTCGAAGGGGAAAGGGGCAGAGGATGACCTCTTACGTAAGACAGAACACGGTGCCCGAGACCGGAGGTCGCGCTCCGTAGGTCCGTCTTCCATACCGGAAGGTTAATCAGTGGTCAGCCCATATCCAAGAGACTGGGGATTCCCTTTACACCGCTGGTTCAGATCTTACAGTTGATGAGGCTATGGTCCGATTTACAGGTCGATCTCTAGAAACAACAACGATTCCAACGAAACCTATCCCAACTTGCTATAAGATCTGGATCCTTGCCCAGTCTGGCTACTGTATACGGTGGCTGTGGCACGTACACGGAAAGGGCCCATACGCATTAGTCCCCCAGGCGCAGCCTGCTCGGTCGGCTAGGCCAGCCGGGCCAGCCGGACCAGCTGCTGAAAAGCTGGCTCTGTTGACACCAACGCAGCAGGTGGTAACTACCCTTACTTCCTTACTTCCAGCTGCAACCTACCACGTCTTTCTTGATAACCTCTTTGCCTCTGTACGGCTCTTTCGTACCCTGCGAAATCAGCAAGTTGGAGCTTCCGGTACTTGCCGGAAGGATAGTGGGATAGATAAGATCCTAGTTACTGAGAAAGAGACTGAGGGACGGGGTATCCCCTGGGGCGAAATACACTGTATCCCTACTTTAGATGGGGAGGAAAGTTATCTGCCTGCTAGCCTGCTTACTTAGATAACTAACTAGTAAATAGGTCAACCAATTCACCTGGAAGGATAATGCCCTTGTACTCTTCCTATCAACTGTCTTCCAGAACGGCCAAGAAGTTGACCGCAGCCGCCGCCGCCCAGCTGGGGATTCCGCTGCCAAGAGGGCTGCCCGGCAAGTCTTTGGCCCAGACGTCCGAAAGGACCTTCCAGTCCCTAAGGCAATCGATGAATACAACCACAAGATGAATGGGGTCGATGTCAGTGACCAGATGAGGTCCTATTATCAATATGGCCACCCTGTTCGTCGAGGGGGCTGGCAGTCAATTGCCTGAAATTTCCTGCTGGAAGTGGTAGTTGTGAATAGCTTCCTACTACAGCTCTGGGGCAGTCCTAGGTGGCAGAAGGTAAAAACCCACTACCAATGGCGGCAGCTGCTTGCAGCCCAGCTTATCCAGCAGTTTGGCCCATTAGCAGGCGGTCGTAGACTATCACGACCTAGACAGGTGTCAGGCGCCCAGAAGGGGGGGGGGCACCGGCGCGGCACTAGTGGGGCCGTCGGCGGGGTAGCTGGGGGCCGCACCGGCACATAGTCAAGGGATTATAAAGGGATTCTAGCTACGCGGCCAACACAGACTCCGACAACAAAGGTTAGCCACTGAGACCAACGTTAGAGAAAGGCGATAGCACAACGCCGCTGAATTAGTGTTATAGCCAGGGGAACTGGGCTTGGTTAAGGGGGGGGACCTGGGGGGCATATAAGGAGCAGTTGCGGCGGACCTAGGGGAAAAGGCAGATTGAAATAACAGTCAACACCCACCCCTACCTGTGCCCATCGCCGACCTCATTACTCTGTACGACTCCAGTCTCTGACAACAGGCTACAGACAAGAGGAATACCTCTATTCCATGGGAACACCATAGAAAAGGGTCGAGGAAGGTTAATTCACCTTGTTCCTATTGTAGCAATACAAGGGCAATAAGTGCCCGCCGGACCCTAGGGGAGATATCTGGGAATACCTTCACGCAGCGTAAATATACGAGGAAGGGCTGCTTAGACTGTAACGTACCTTTGTGTATCCAAAGGGATTGTTGGTACCTCTGGCATACGCAGAATATATAGGCAATAGAGGTACTATAACCCTATTGGTTAACTCGAGGGATTCACAGCCCCTTATTGGCTTTACCCCACCCTTGGCAAAAATGGCGTCAGTCAGCACCCGATGGGATACTCGTGGATTAATTAGACACCTGGTTTTTACATCTTGTCTTCAGGGGATTCAACGACTTGTTAAAGACGGTGGAAGTAGTAAGCCAGTTGATGTCGGTGGTCTTGTCCTTCCTGCTCTTCCAAGGTGTGGAGTTGTAAGGCTTGTCTGGTGTGAATCCTAGCGTAGTCTGGCCCGGCGAAGATGGCGGGGTAGGCGGATGTGTCCTATCGCTCTGCGCCGCCGGCAACATCATTCGTGGGAGATTCAAGCATTGTGGGACCTGGCTAGGAGAATGATTAACAAGGTGCACCGAGTGTAATCTCTATCAGCAATGGTTGGAGTGGGGCTACCAAATGTTCAAGTCAGTGTTTTCTCTAGGCAAGTCTACAAAATCAGTGAGCTCTACTCAATGGGGGCAGAACGACAGAACTGCGAATCGGTCGAGGAAACCGTGACGGCATCAGATTACTCGACAGTTAGCTGGATGTCGCAGCTCAGAGATTGCTCTTTGTACCAACAACAGCAGCATGACCTTCAATCGCCGCAGTCTGCCGTCTTCAGTCAGCGCCACCAAAATCTAACCCCGGCCTGCTCCTCCTTTTCCATGGATCCGGCCTGGCAGGCTCCTTCCGACGGTCGAAATTGACCAGGGCCAGAACACACAGCCACCACAACAGAGAAGAAAGCCACGAAGCCAGCCGAAGAGCCCGCGACCTTCGTTGACGGCTCAATACATTTTCAAGAAGGTGCGTGTCGGAGCTAGCAGTGGATCTTCACCCCGCCAGCTCGATGCTTCATGAAGAGGACCGAGATGGGTCAAAGGATAGGTGAGGCTTGGCGTGCACGGACTACAATGCATGCTCCCAAGGCAGTAATGTGGCCTGTGCACGTCCTATGACACTGCTGGACCTGATGGACCAGAGGCATGGATCTACCATAGTACGCCTCTGCGATCATTATGTGCCGCGTGTTCTAGGGCAGATCGTTATGAAGCCGCCTCCCCCATGTAAGTCTTTGGGTAGTCGCACAATTGTTACGAAGCCAACGATTTCATTCCTCGCCCGAACTGCCTGTTGTAGCCCTCACGACTCGGCCTGTCCTAGCTGCATCAATTGTCTTTCGACGAGGTCTTGGACGAAGGGAGATGACGAAAACGCGTTCGCCACGACCCTTCACTACATCGCTGCCGCCTGCAGAATGAAGATGATGATGATGATGATGAATTTAACGTCCTGAGTAAAAAAAAAAAAAAAAAAAAAAAAAAGGGACGTGCCGGGCGATGCCGACATGGTCTATCCTAATCTAAACTATTTTACAGGCTGCCGTCTTCACCTAACGTTCCTGTTCAATGATTCGGGCAGATTTCGGAAAAGAAATTGGTCGCCTCCATCCATTCGCACAGAAGAGAGGCTCCCTGCGTAGTACCTAGCAGAAAATCTATGCTTGCCTTCGCCATACGTCGGCGGAGATGCCGCGGGGTAGCTTTACGGCCGCGCTTGCAGAAGTAGAAGTGTACTGGGGTTTTGCGCCTTCCGCAACTGCAGTGAAGCAGTGCTTCTTGGTGGGCGAATCTCTCGTGGTACGCTGCAAAGTCTCCATGATGCGATCTTGCCGCATATAGCCTTCCTAGCAAATGCCGAGGAAGGCGAAGTTCGGGGGGCTTGGGATGAGGACTTATCCCAAGGTCGGCATACTGCCGAGGGCAGATTGACGGCCATCTCCTAGCGAAAGCCTGGAGGTCGGCTGCTCTGGGCTCCCGCTTCAGGTGCGCCAATGTAGGCTGTGGCTGTGATTCTGGGATTTGTTTGCAGGCCTCCTTGGCAAGAGCGTCTGCTTCCTCGTTTCCTGCTATTCCCGTGTGTCCAGGGCACCACCAAATGTATACCCTGCCAGGGGTCGTCCAGCTTGTCCGTCCTCTCTGTGCCCAAGAGGTGGAGAGCTCACTAAAAGCCCTAAACCTAGCCTGGCTGCTTCCTGGGCTCCGGGTGACGAGTCTGGCTGCGACTGCGAG